GGAACAGATAAATTCTGATGTAGATGTAGTAAAAGACGTTGTAAGTGAAGCAAAACTTGTATTAGTGCTTGACATATTAGTAGTAATGAAATCTGAAAAAGTATAAACATGTTTTTAATATTATTTAAAAAATAAAAAGTAATTTTGCAATAACTAACTTTATTTACAGTTAATAACTGGTAATATTCAAAAGCGCGAGACACCAATTGCCAATTACTAGTCTTCCGCTACTCAAACTCATCGGTTTTGGGTTGTGCTCATCGGTTTGACGCGTGTTTTAATATGTTATTTTTTTTTTTTCAGGGTGCGTTCGCTAAATTGATCACAAAAAAATTTTTTTTTACTATTTGTGATGGTGTAACGTTGATCAAAATTACTATATAAAATTAGGCCCAATCTTGATAGTTAGCCGATATGCGCTGATCTTCTATACAGTTAAGATTGCACAAAAGATCGGCACGAAATATGAGGTTCCTGGATAAATTTCACCCACTCAGGTGATCATAATCTTTGATGATCACCTAAATTTGGTAAAATTTGGTAAATGGGAAAGTTTCACAAAAATTAATATAATATCTGCAGATTAAAAATTAAGATATATAAATTTAAATTCTGGAAAATTATGATGGATGTTTATTTTAAAAATATAAAAAAAAATAAAACAAATTATTAAAATATTTCCAAGTTTCTGACCAGTAAATACTGACTTACCAATTAAATATTTATGATTTTCTTTTGATATATGGATGTTAGAGATTTTGATAGTGTCAGTTGAATAATCACCCGTTAGATGCGATCAACTAAATAAAAGTTTTAGAAATTTGTATTTGTCTACTATCCGTAAATTATTACTTCCTCGTTTTAAAGACAAAGATTTAGTAACTTTAGTCATTTTAACTGTATCTTTAAACACTTACGTAAATACAAAAAAATGTTATTTTGTATTTTCAATAAATTATTAAATCTGTTTTCTGTTCCTAAATTTAAATTGAACATAGTCTTAATTAAAATGTATACTATTCATTTGTCGATTTCTTGTATATAAAATTCATTTAAAATATTTCTCATTGACAAATTTTGAAATCATGTTTCAGAACATGTTTAGATTCTCAGTTTTTTGAATAATCGAAATGGAGATAAACAACTTAACAAACATTGTATATTTTTTTACTAGAGCAGCCATTTTATTAAAAAAAAAAAAATTAAATTAACGTCTTGTATGATTGCAGTGAAATAATAAAATTTTTGGCGAGACTACTACCTCTAAATTTCTGTTCACACTTTACTATTTAAAATTTTAAATATAAGCCACGATCAGGGTTATCAGGACAAAATTTAATTATAATAGCACAATATATAACATATATTCATCAGGTCGCGGTGTTCTATTCTTTCAGTATACTATCATTATATTCAAAATAGTCTTCCAAATAGTTCAAAAGATATCAGCACACTTGATTACCAGCATTTTTTTAAAAAATAAGTTTAATTTACAGTACATACAAAATTTCTTTATATCAAAAAAAAATTCACCATATCAGTCTTAAAATAGTAAATATTTAGGACCCGAGCAATACTGAAATAGGTAACAAGAAATATATACGTATAATATGAATTTTCGATAATGTTGGTCGGATTATTTTAGTAGATGACTGACATTATTATAATTCCGGCCCTGAAAAATGCGTAGATAATAGTAAATTTTTGCTAATTTCCTATGACTTATTTATATATTGCTCAAGGTCCTAAATACTTATCATGAAAATCAAAAGGTTTAATCTAGTTCCTAAAAATAGAATTTTTTTTTTTGCAATTATTATTTCTTTTATTTCTTTAGTATTAATTTTGTTAATACCTTCCCTTATACCTTGGTCCAGACTTGTATCTGTATCCTTTGTAGATGAAGGGATATATTTACCATCGCTACTGTTCTTAGAATTTGAAGACTATGTTTGTTAATGAAACCTTGAAAATTACTTAGACTATTACTTGAATTATATCAAAAGGCGGCAGGTTTAGGAAATACCGGCGGTGGAATAAGTAACTAAATCTTGTGTTACTATGAAGCAGGGCCAATGAACAGAAGGCATTTGAATTATATCAAAAAGACAAATTTAGGAAGTAACCGGCTTAATAATCTTGCTCTGGATATATGAAAATGGAAGTGAAATTAAAAAAGGTATGAATCAAGCAATTTATTAATATCACAAAATAAAATTAAAAGAATTTTTAAAGAAATAAATTCTATTTTATTATTTCTATTATAAAATTAAAAGTAAAAGGTTTCAACTGTCCAAGATTATTCTTTATTCATTATTAATTTATTAAATAATGAATTAAGCAAAAATCTATAATAAATAACTGCAAAACGCGTGTAAAATATATACTATGAAAACTATATAAAGTATAATATTAGTTAAAAATTAATAGTTATGAATATTCAGTATAGAAGAACTTAAGATTTAATAATATACCAATTTTTTTCATTTTCTTAATACATATATGACAATTTTATTCACAAAATATATTATTAGGAAACGCAAAAAAAAAAGAAAATTATAAATAAACCTTTATCTGTTGTATCATTTATTTGATGTAGCACAAAATTTAAATGACATGGGTGCGCGCAGACAAACCGGACATAGCCATGTGATTACCATATATTATTAATATTCCATTACTATTCATGAACATATATACTGTACTAGTCTTTCGGATAATAATATTTAAACTAACTTCTTAGCTCTAGGTACTTTTATGTAATTATGCTCCCTTTTGGATCCATAATTCAATAAAGTGGTTACTATTTAAAAAAAAAAAGAAAAAAAAAAAAAGATTTAACCAACAATTTTTTTAAAAAACAATATTTATACTTACAATGAGTCTATTGCACAGTTATTATTTACCACAACTGGTCTGCAGAGTTGCACTAGCTTCATATAGTATTTACTGCAGAAGCACAGAAAGTGATCAACAAAGGAGTATTACTAATATAACAAGTGAATTACCGTAATTTGTAGCATAATAATTTATTGTATAAATTTTTTCAATTTGATTACAATAAATATATTCATTTTAGCATGTACATTTGTACTTGTCAAAATAGAATAAGGTTAGAAGACTTTTGATTTATTAAGAAAAAAGATAACTGATATATTATATAATCCAAGCTTTAGTAATATCCTTTTAGATTTCCCCTCGATATATTCATATCCTGTTCTGGATGATATACAATATAGTATGGGAGAAGTATAAATATTTAAGTTATAATGAAATAAAAATGGTTAAGAAATCTATAATGAAGAATATGAACCTCTTCATTTAGGTAAGTACATTATTATATAATCCTTATTTTTTCTGTTAATAAAATTGTAAATGTAGCCTAAAATCTAATATTTATAACTTCAAAAAGGTTTCTTCATTTGTATCATTCAATATGGGTGGATTTGGCTCACTTGATGATCGGAATGTCGATCATTTTGGCTAAATTAACGTTGATTTTGGCCAAAATGATCAACATGATCATCAAATCCGCCCATATGTTGATTATATTTATAATTTATTGAATGTAATTATTATCACATGATTTTCAATTCGGATCGATCGTGTTTCTCACTTCCTCTCCTGACTATCCATAAAATAAATAAATAAAAATAAATATTTGTGTAATTGTTTTGACGCCTTCTCTTCCGATTATTGTTTTTTTTTAAAAAAAAAAAAATTTAAATCATGTCATCTCAATAGTGTTCCTCACAAGTCGAGTCAAATCGAGTTTTGAATTAATTTTTTGTATGATAAAATTTGTCCTACGCTAATTTTATAATACTTTAACTAAATTATTTATGTTATGCGAATCTATTTCGGGCCACATATGCGGGACACTACATCTCAAGATGATATTATATGTAAAAGCTGTGGTAAAATATGTACAGATATTACAGATAAATGGTGTAGACCATGTACAATAAATAACTTAAAAAAAAATTTCACGAACTGGACTAGTGGAAATGAAAAGATTGATGATTTTATTCAAAAAATGCAATTGAAAACTGAAAAACATCTTGATATAATTGTTGAATGGATACCTTATGACCAGTTCGATAATATTAAAAAAACAAGTAAAGATGGTTTTGCTACAGCAATATGGAAGGATGGTTTATTAGAATATAATAGAGAAGAAAGGAAACGTAAAAGAACACCTAATAAAGAAGTTACTTTAAAATACTTGATCAATTCACAAAATGTTATTAATGAATTTTCAAATGAGGTATGAAACTTCTATTTTTTGTAATTTAACCCTTAAAAGTACTTTATTATAACAACTTTTATATTTAACAGGCTAAAGCATATTCCATTAAAGAATATAACCATATTCCTAAAATATATGGGATATCCCAAAATCCAGCTACAAATAATTATATTATAGTACTTGAAAATAGTTGTTGTAAAGAATGTGGTGAAATATATATGGAAATATGGTCTAAATGGTGTAGACCATGTCAAATAAATAATTTGGAACTAAATCATAGTGGAAATAAAAAAATTGATGAATTCATTCAAGAAATGCAATTAAAAATTGAAAGTGTGAGAGATATAATTGTAGAATGGATACCTTATGACCAGTTTAATATTATCAAAGAAATAAGCAAAGATAATTTTGCTAGAATATATTTGGCAATATGGAAAGATGGTCCATTAGAATGTAATTATGATGAAGAAAAGTGTAAGCATAAAAGAAAACCTAATAAAGAAGTCACTTTAAAATGCTTGAATAATTCTCAAAATGTTATTAGTGACTTGCTAAATGAGGTATGTAACTCCCAATTTTTGTAATTTAATTCTTAAAAGCATTTTATTATAACAACTTTTTTATTTAACAGGCTAAAACATATTCCATTAAAGATAGTTTTGGTTTAAATAATACTCTTAAAATATATGGAATATCCCAAAATCCAGATACAAAAGATTATATTATAGTTCTTGATAGTTTTTGTGAAAATTGTGGTGAAATATACACAAATACATATTATCGATGGTGTAAACCATGTCATTTAATACAAAATTTTGCTAACTGGACTAGTGGTAATGAAAAAATTGATGAATTCATTCAAGAAATGCAATTAAAAATTGAAAGTGTGAGAGATATAATTGTAGAATGGATACCTTATGATCAGTTTAATATTATTAAAGAAATAAGCAAAGATAATTTTGCTAGAATATATTTGGCAATATGGAAAGATGGTCCATTAGAATATAATTACTTTTATCGTTATAATTACCATGGAGAAAAGTATAAGTATGAAAGACAACCTAATAAAGAAGTTATTTTAAAATACTCGAATAATTCACAAAGTGCTATTAATGACTTTTTGAATGAGGTATTGAAACTTCTAATTTTTTATAATTTAATCCTTAAAAGCACTTTATTTACAATGACTTTTATATTTAACAGGCTAAAGCATATTCTATTAAAGGAAAATATCATATATGTGATATTCCTAAAATATATGGAATATCCCAAAATCCAAATACAAGTGAATATATTATTGTATTTAAAGATGGCCATTATTGCAAAAACTGTGGTGAAATATATCATACAGAAATATATAAAAGTAACATACGGCAGGTTAAATGGTGTAAACCATGTCAAATAAATAGTTTAAAACAAAATTTTGTAAATTGGACTAGTGGAAATGAAAAAATTGACAATTTTATTCAAAAAACGCAACTAAAAATTAACAGTTATTATGATATAATTGTTGAATGGATACCATATGACCAGTTTAATAATATTAAAGAAATAGGTAAAGGTGGATTTGGTACAGTCTATTCAGCAATATGGAAAGATGGTCCATTAAATTCTAAAATAGAATTAAAGAGAACTACACCTAATAAAGAAGTTGCTTTAAAATGCTTACATAATTCACAAAATATTACTAACGAATTTTTAAATGAGGTATGAAATTTATTTTTTAGACTTCATTAAACACTTCTCAATAATGATTGTTTTTACTTTTTGATAGATTAATGCATACTCTATTAGTATTGATAATGGAATTCTCAGAATATGTGGAATATCCCAAAATCCAGATACAAATAACTATATTATTGTACTTGAATATGCAAATGGTGGAAATCTTGATAATTACAATAATAATATCATCAGGAATTATAATTGGGTTGGAAAATTGTCTTTACTAAGAGATATTGTTAAAGGTCTTAAAAAAATTCATGAAAATGAAGTAGTTCATCGTGATTTCCATACAGGAAATATATTGATATCATTTATTCTTAACTCTTATGATGGCTCTGGAAATTCTTCTAGTAATATATATATTTCAGATATGGGATTATGTGGAGAAGTTAGTAATATAGACAAAACAAAAATTTATGGAGTTATGCCATTTGTAGCTCCTGAAGTATTAAGAGGAAAGCCCTATACTCAAGCAGCAGATGTATACAGTTTTGGTATGATTATGTATTATATTGCAACTGGAAGACAACCTTTTGCCAATTGTGCTCATGATAGTGTTTTAGCATTAAAAATATGTAATAAAATAAGACCTGAAATAAATGAACAAGAAGCGCCAAAATTTTATATTGATTTAATGAAAAATTGTTGGGATCCAGATCCAGATAAGAGACCAAGTGCTATTGAAATAAAAAAATTGGTCGATTCTTTCCCTGAGGATGATTATGATGATGATGGTGATGAAATTAAAAAGCAAATTAAAGAAGCAGAAGAATATAGAAAAACACATTTTTTATTTACTGGAAATAGTCAATCAATTCATCCACAAGCTTGTTATACTTCTCGATTACTCAATCCATTTACAAAAGATCTTTCAAATGATACTGATTGTTTAGACTGTATGATTAATGATTGAACTAAAGCTATTATAAATTACTATTATTATTTTTATTGTTTTAGTCAAATAATTAAAATTAAAATTTGTAGAAAGTAATTACTATACTCTACCTTGTAAAAAATCTTATATTTCTGTTTTTTCCGTAAATGTACCATTTTCACGGAATTTTTATGAAAGTCATAGAGAAATAATGAAAATATTCGGAAATTTTTTATAGGGTTATTTAATGTTGGTATAATAACATTTGATGTATAATATTTAACATATTCATTATTTTTATTTTTATTTTTATTTTTATTTTTATTTTTATTTTCTTTTTAAAATGAAGTTTAAAATTCTGTTTATTATTATGTTTTGAAAATAAAAATTAAACATTATTATTATTATTATAAAATTATATTTCTCATCATTATACCAGTAATATAAAGTTATAATTTTTTTATTTATTTGTTGTTCTATATTATTAGTAGTATAGAAAATTACTTTCATTAATATACTTACTAAGAAACAGTTTATAACTTTATATGTATGATTTTGGTATAATTATATATTATATTGCAATTGGAAGACAATCTTTTGCAAAATTGCGTTCATAATATATTTTAGCAATATATACATACATCCAAATAATACTATTTGTCCAACTAGTTTTATGATGATGAGGAAATTAAGAAAACCAACTGTTACTCATTACTCAATCCATTTACAAAAGAACTTCCAAAATACAATGATTATATTTAAAATACCTCAATGGATGTTACTATTTTAGAAAATATGTTATATTTACTTACTGTATATTATTATTTATTTCATTGAATTATAAGTCATTTTATAGGTTATCAAACAAAACAATGTTCTACACATCGGCGCCAAATACAAATTACAAATTACAATGTATTTACAATTTGTGAAAAATAAAAGGTGTAGCACATTGTGAAAATTCATATTTTAAATATCAAACACCGGTCATGTACCAGTGTTTTATATAATTTGATCTTAAACTCTACATTTTATATAGATTTATGCCTAATATTAAATATTTATACAGTTGATATTATTATTTTTTTTAATATCATTGCATTTTGTAAATGTAATTATTTTTTACATAAATAAAATTAGTTTGTAATTGAATAATCAAATGAAGAAAAACTTGCTTAATAAAATGTAAATATACTAGCAATTGTCATTTTTAAAAAAAACCTATTATTAAAAAAAAGAACTTAAATCAATGATTCTTATATATTTTAGTATCTTTATTAAAGTTTTTAAGAGCTAAATAGTAAAATAGAGGACCCAAATATAATAAAAAAGTCTTATGATGACGTCATATACATACTGTGCATGAAATAATTGCGATACTGCCGTACTACGGCTAGAAATACCATCATATTTTGGATGATCCTTTTGTAAATGAATTAAGTAATCAAGAATTATCCGGTATCACGTGATTTTTTATAATTAAAAATGGTTATAATAAATCGTGTATCAGGCAAAAAATCGTGTATCAGGCAAAAAAATCGTGTATCAGGCAAAAATTCGTGTATCGGGCAATATCAAATCACGAGATACCGGATAAATCACTTATTCGGCACTTCGAACCGAATAACTAACGCTACCTAAAAGTAGCTTGTTATATTGGGAATCAAATTTGATCAGTTGATCTCGGGCTCCTGCGGAGCCCGGATCAACCAATCAAACTTGATTTACCCAATATCGTGCCGAATAACTATTAAGTATTCGAGTTTTAGAGCAACCATCTTTAGTTTTGTCCGGAAAGAACAGAGAATGGGAATTATTAAGGGGAATATATAATAATAGAATTTCGAATAAGAAAGACTATAAGAAAGTGATAGAAAATTTATGGAGTTTTTGTTACGATAAAATTCGATCAAGGATATGATGTGAATCAGTTGCCGAAATAGAAATGAACGAGGTGTAGGGAAAAAAAGATTTAAAAAAGAGGAAAATAACTAGCAAAGAAGATGAGGGCGAGATGGTGAAAAACAGAATAAAAAATAGAAAAATAAATGAAAATGATAAAAATTCAAATAAAATTTCAAAAAATATTAAATTAGTAACGAAAGATAAAATGATAGGTCAAATTGTTGAAGGAAGTTCGATAAAGAACAATTGGAGTATGGTAGTTAAAATTTTATAATTTTAGTTTAGAGTTAGAATAGATTATATAATTTTTTTTTTAGTAGCTTTTAGATTGAACTTAGTTATAGAGAATATTATAATGTAAATTATTTATTTATATTTTCTAGGTGTTTAGAAAATTAGGTAATCAATTTAATTATTGTTCTTAATTAATAAACGCGTTGCTATTTTAAAATAAATAAAAAAACGAAGTAATCGAGAAGTATAACAAGCTTGTGGATGAATAGTTTATTGGTCATTTTCAACAGCTAGAAGGATCTGATTTGAATCCTGGTTATAGGGAACAAGAATTAAATAGTTATATGATATAAAACGGAAATGTAGAAATTTTATTAATTATAAAATAAATGATAATTTATATTTTATACATATTTAAACCTAACGCTAATACGATTTCTGTTCTTCGAAGTTCAAAGTTAAAGATAATGATCTTTTTTTTTTTTATCAAATTATGATAATTGCGGATACTGTCTCATCTTTTTGGCGAACATAAAATCTATAATATAAATCACAGATGTAACTGATCTTGTCATGATATCTCAGTTGTTTCATGTAATATGTCGATATCTACTAATTTTTCAATTATTTATTTTTAAATTGTTCATTTTATTAATATAATATTATAAAAAACAGTCTCATTATTGAAAATACAGTATGGCTTTATTAAAGAAGTTCCTCGTTTATTAATTTTTTTTAATTGTTATTGTGTCAATCTCACATTTCTGAAGAAATTTTGATAAAGCTATACTATAAAGCTTGAATGTATATACAACATCAATTATACCTGTGATAATAAAAATTTGACTAACATGGTTGGTAAAATTTATAGCCGATCATCCATTAATCCCATGTGATATTGCCCGCGTACTATAATATTTATAATATTATTATTGTCTAGACTATTAAAAAATAATTGTAATATTCAGTTACTTTTAATATGAATCAATAAAATGTATTTTCCGATATTATAAATAATAAATAACGTATACTATATAGTCTATCCATTTATCTGATCAATAAGCTATATCACGATCAAATAATACATTCGATACCTCTATTATCTGTAATGTATAAATCTGTGTCATTATATCTAATTGCTGGAAAAGCTTTTGTGGTGATAATTACATCGTTCAAAATTACTTGTAGCTAACTGTCCCAAGCAAAAGTATAGTAAATACAGCAATATCTATCCTTTACCAATATTAATTCACTTTATAGAAAAAACTTAATAATGTGGCTGCATATTACAGTACAAGTTTCAAGTTCAATCAATTGATGTGACAAATGTGACTCATCTTTATAAATATAAATATTACACATAAGAATTTTTTCTATCTACAATATAATAACTAAATACATATTTTACCAATATACTAATTTTTTACTGCAAAATATTTATATAGTTTTACATCATATAAAGTTTATGTATAAGTAAATACATCAGTGCTACTTATTTATAGGGGATAAATCATATTGACTACATATTATAAGCCATATATTATTAATCATTTTACTAGTTAATTCATATTGTAACAAATGTGACTCATATATGATAATCTATTTTTTTATGATTAAATGTTTTTAAAGGTATATATATACCCTTAACTCCCTCAAGAAAAAATTCAAATTTCTTTTCAAATACTTATTTTCAACCAATATTATTTTTCAAATATCAAAATTTTATTCAAATATCAAATATCAATCTTAAAACTGTCAAAATGTCATACGAATTGTGTCCAAATATTATCTCTACAATTTTCAATGAAATTCCAATCAACAAATGCTACCATTATCTTCATCCTCAACCTATTGAAACCTTTAATTATCTACCATTAATCTCCGTAATCTTTTACATTCTTTTTATATTTCTTCTAATAAATACCAATCTTCTCAATTACACAATTGTCTTAATGCTTATTTCATTGAAATTCACAATTACAACACTTATTTTTATTCTTAAACATCTCCCTTTTCTTCCTTTATATCTCTGTAATCTATTTCTCTCTTTCAAAAATTTATTATTGTATATATCATTATTAATTATTCTTTATATCTTATCTACCTTATCATCAATTCTTCTCCATTTACTTTATTTTATTAATCACATAATTTATATTTTCCTCTTTTTTTATTCTTTGCTTTATAAATTAACCTATTTATTAAATAATATAATTTCCCAATAGCTTAGTTATTTTTTTTTTCTTTTTTTCTTTTTCAATAATCTTATATTACGTAGCTAGGTCCATTGCTTACCAAATATAGCATGGAGACGTAATCTTTACCCTTTGGTCAACTCGGGAATACTTGACCATTCTTAGATAGATAATTTTTACAAGGGGATCA